AGTCGTCGTGGAGCACAACCGAGTGGCCGAGGATCGACTTGGGGCCCGACAGCGGCAGGTTGGTGTCGGTGAAGAGCCTCTGCGTGTCGCCGACTTCCCGAACCGACCCGGCGACGTACAGGACCCGTGGCGTTCTCCAGGTCGCCGACTTCAACAGCGCTCGGCCGTGTCGGCGTTGCAGTAGCGGTAGACTTTGTCGGCCAGGGAGATCTGCGGCGGGTGGAGGGGGGTGGTGAAGAGAGATACGGGGTGGGGGTGGGGTGGGGGGTTTCTGTGAGGGGTGGTGCGGGGGTGTTCCCGTGGCGGTGAGGGGGGGGGGGTCCGTGGCGGGTGAGGTGAGGGGGTGGGGTGGGGGTGGGTGAGGGGGGTGGGGGTCCCGTGGCGGGTGAAGGGTGAGTGATAAGAGAGATCTGTGGCGGGTGAAGGGTGGGTGGTAAGAGAGTTAAGGGGGAGGGGGGGGGTCCGTGCGGGTGTAGGGTGAGTGATGAGAGAGATAAGAGGGAAGTGGGGGGGGGTCTGTGGCGGGTGAAGGGTGGGTGATGAGAGAGATAACGGGGGATGGGGTGGGGGGGGGTCGTGGCGGGTGAAGGGAGAGTGATAAGAGAGATAAGGTGAGGGGGGGGTCCGTGGCGGGTGAAGGGTGAGGGGGGAGATCTGTGGCGGGTGAAGGGTGAGTGGTAAGAGAGATAACGGGGGAGGGGGGGTCCGTGGCGGGTGAAGGGTGTGTGATAGAAGAATAGGGAGATATTCTTACTTTTTATTTGATTTGATCTTTACGGTTTGTTAACTTTAATTAAACTTAATTAAAATGGCTATACTGAGCAATTTAATTCATGTCTGTATACCTAAAAAGGCATTCCGTAATAGACCTTAGAAATACCTTTCTTTCCGCATCAAAACCCACCTCCTTGTTCTAGTTAACAGCCATAAATGAGACGCAGATAGAACCCAGTTTAACAACCAGTTTGATGAGTATAACAGTCTCACAACCCCGCCCCGTCCCCCCTCCCGTGGCCTCACCTTGTAGGGGTTGTAGTGTCCTCCCGGCCGACACGCAGCGCATGGTCCAGTTGTAGAAGTCCTCCCCGGGACGTTTGTCGTGCACGTGCCAGCGGTGCTTGCCCGTGGCGTTCCTGCTGCCGTCCGAGTACACCAGGTAGCTGACGAAGACGGTGGTGTCGGCCAGGTAGTTGTCGGCCTCCTGCTCGAAGATGATCTCGCCGACCAGCGGGTAGCGGAAGGTGACGGCGGCGCGCACCTGCGGCTGCGTCGGCCGGATGTTGGCGCAGAGCCAGCGCGCGCCCGTGTCGCGGTGCAGCACCAGGCTGCGCGTCAGCACGGAGCGCGGCCCGAACAGCGGCAGGTTGTGGTCCGTGACGGTGGCCTCGACCTCCTGCAGCCCCGTCAGGAGGCCGTGCTTGCCGCTCAGGTCGCCCAGCTCGTAGCGGTCGTGGCTGCCCAGGCCCGGCTCGGGCGAGGTGCTCGGGTCCACCTCGAAGGGGTTGTAGTGGCCGCCCGTCTTGCCGCACGGGAAGTCGCCCGCGTGCTTGGGCGGGTACGACGGCAGCTCGTGCACGTGGAAGCCGCCCGCACGCCCGTCCAGCCCGCGGAGGTCCAGCGTCAGGTCCGTGGGCGCGAAGACCGACGTCTGCTCGAACCGCACCTCGCCCGTCACGCCCAGCCCGTTGAAGATGGCGCGCGCCTTCTTGGGCTTCACCTCCCGCATCTTGGCGCACGCCCACAGGTGGTCGGGGTGCAGCGCGCCCATCACGGCGATGTACAGCTTCCTGGGGCCCGACAGGTCCGGCAGCGCGAAGTCGGTGGTCGAGTACATCTTGCGGGAGAAGCGGGACCTGCAGGAGGCGGGTCACAGGTCAGCGGTGGGTCGCTCTCTCTCTCTCTCTTTCTCTCCCTTTCCTCCTCCTATTCTCTCTCATTCACTTCGTCCGTTTCCCTTTCTTTCTCTCCCCTCTCTTCCATTCACTCCCTTTCCTCCTCCTCTCTCTCTCCTCTCTTCCATTCACTCCCTTTCCTCCTCCTCTCTCTCTCCCTCTCCATTCCTCTCCCCTCTCTCTCTCCCTCTCCACTTCCTCCTCCTCTCTTCTCTCCCTCTCCTTCCTCCTCCTCTCTCATCTCCCTCTCACATTCCTCCCTCCTCTCTCTCACATTCACTCCTCGCCCCCCTCATCACTCTCTTTTTCTCTTCTCTTCCCTCGCCCCTCATCACTCTCTTTTTCTCTTCCCCTTCCCTCCCCCCCTTCCTCTCTTTTCTCTCCCATTCCACCCTCCCTCCCTCCTCTCCCATTCACCCATCCTCTCTCTCTCTCTTCCTCATTCATCCCCTCCCCCCCACCTCCCCCCCCACACCACCTCCGAGTGCCGACGCGTAGCTCCCCGAAGGCGTGGGAGAGGCGACCCATGGGACACCCGGCGTCGTCACACTTCTCGCGTCCTAGGGGGTCGTAGACGCGGCTCAGGAAGTTGCAGGACGTCCTCTCGT